AATTCCTTGTAACACCTTATCAACGATTTTAAAATATAAGGACAACTTAAAAAGAGAGTTCTGTAATAATAAACGTAAACGGATTACAATATGTGAATATGATGACGTGGATGAAGATATGTTACAATGGATAATTACTGGAAGAAAAAAAATTTTCCTCTGTTGGGTAGTATTGTTAAAGAAAAGGTAAAAGCAGTTTGCAGACACAATTGCCGCAAATAAAGATGCGATCAAGACAATTTGAACATTTATCCATTCCAGAGCAAAAGCACCAGATGATATATTCCAATTAAATAATATGAAAAATTATATAGAAAAAGAAAAAGAACCACAAGTAAACAGAAAATTAATACATATAATCAAATATTTTAAATAAAAATTATGTATATATATTAAAATCATTAATAAACTATATGAACAGTCTTTTCCACACCTTATTTTTTTAATATATGAAAATATCTATAAAAATTTGCACTGTCATTGCTGCTGTTGTTGCAGACTTATTTTTGTTTTATATTCTACATTTCATATTGAGAATAATATAGTATTCAGTATATCAATCTCTATTATTCCCGTCAAAAATATGAAACTTTAGTTCTTTTTAGTTGTTTTCAGATTTTTTTTAAATAATTGATTGGACTACAGATTATGATCCATTCTAATCCACCGAATATTACGGTGACTATATTTCCATAGATCTATAAGTCCATAGAATGTCATTTCAATGGGTTTTGTTTCAGATTCCGTTATGTTTTGATTTATCATGTTGATTTCTTAAAGAAAAGTTGCATCGATCCAAGTTGATATGTGGTTGTGATTGATATGTGGGTTCAACTAATCAAGCAACGTTTTTTTAATAGTAAAAAAAAAGTTTCAAATTAATTAATAACTATATTTTTATTTGTAATTTATTATTATTTTTGAACTTTATATATTTATTTTACACATATATACAAAAATATACAATAGTAGTCTATAAACTTTACTCGCTAATTTACTGGTGTAGAGTGACTAGTAATTTTAAGAGATATAATAAAAACGTATTTTGTCTTCAATTTTAATTTTAATTGCTTCCTAAACAATTGTTGTTTTTTGAAAAAAAAAGTATAAATAGCGTAGTTCAGTTCCTATAAACGTTAAAGTTTTTTTTAACTCCGTTTCGCGCTTTTCAAAAAATTAAATAATATACTATATATAATATTAAAAATTGTGACAATTATAGTGAGAGTATGATATATTTAAATATAAACGTGATTTCTATTATAATATCATTAATAACTTGTTGTTGTAAAGGATTTTTCATAACGGATGAGGATCTAAATCTCCTTAACTACAATGACTTAAGCAACTTCAATTATTATCCTTACTATTTAAATGCGGAATTATATGAAAATCCAAAGCCTAAAGGACGTACTTTTGTACAAATAGCACGAGTAATGAATCCCAATCAATACGGACTTAATGGAATTTCATCACGTCCTTATCCATCACAGCCATTTCATCCAGCGGGCGAAAAATAAATTATAATTATAAACTTGAATGGAAATGTTTTTATTAATTAAATACATATACATTAAAAGAAAAGTTAGATAAGAAATTGGCAGAACTTTAAATACTTGCTTTTGTAACCTTCTCCTACTGACCTGACATAGTTTTCATCCGTTAAAATTAGGGACAAAGACAAGTTCATAGATTTGGTATGCATAAATATATCAATTCTTTATGTGTGCTCAAATTGGGGTTTTATCCTCTATGACTTCGTCCCTTTCTGTTCATGTTTTAATGCATAAACTAGTTTCAGACCTGACATAGGGACAAAGACAAGTTTATAGACTTGGTACGCATAAATACATCAATTCCTAATGTGTGCTCCAATTGCGGTTTTATCCTCTATGACTTCGTCCCTTTCTGTTCATGTTCTAATGCATAAACTAGTTTCAGACCTGACATAGGGACAAAGACAAGTTTATGGACTTGGTACGCATAAATACATCAATTCCTTATGTGTGCTCAAATTGCGATTTTATCCTCTATAACTTCGTCCATCTCTGCTCATGTCTTAATACATAAACTAGTTTGAGAGTAAGTTCATAGGCTTGGCATGTTTGTTCTCATTTACTTGAATAGGGATATAGTGCCTATTTAAATGGATGTTGCTTATTTGCTAGAAGCTTCGTACTTCCACCTTTAGGACGGTTTTTCAGATGTACCGTACAAGTTTTGGCCTATCTGCAGTAATACAGCAGGCTATTATTTCTGCTCAAGTAAGCTTTGGTGCATAACCTTCATTTGTAATTAGAAGTCATGTAATTTGCAATATTTCTTTAAATCTATTCAAATTATTTAATTGATTATCTCATTGTTAACTGAATTTATGCAAAAGTATGCAAAATTAGAGTACAAGTATCTTAACACTTTTCAATAAATTTATTTTATCTGACATGCATTTAATGCACCGCATTATAATATGTGCGTTTATCAACAATAATGTATCTAAAGCACAATGAGCTATGAATACAAATGTAGCTCTTACTGTTAATATTAACAGACTAAGTCTAACTTTTAATGGAGCACACACCTAGCCTTTTTAATATCATTATGGTATTCGCAGCACTAATAAAAATTTAGTACTTATAAGATTATAAATATTAATATGTTGCATACATATCCATATTAAACCTTTAAAGACGTTCAGTAGCGGATTATGATAAATTTATCATGTACGTGACAGGCATAAATCCATATATAATCGTAACTGATGCTATTTGATATATTTTGATTTGGAATAAAAATCCCAAACATTCATGGCAAGCCGCAATGATTTGAAGATGTACTTTTTATTATTATTGAGATATTACGATTTTAAGGATTTCACCGAACTTTTTTTAAGTAATATTTTTTTTCATTATTATTTTTAAATAATTTAAAACAGTTTAATTTAACAATTAAAAGCTTACTTAAATGATTCATATTAATTATTTTCATTGATAATGATTTCGTCATTATTAAGTTATACGATTTTATTCCTTTAGTTTGTACATTCATCATATCAGTGACATGGTTTGTATTGATTTTATTTCTGTAGTTCCCATTGTGATGAGGCATATCTGGTATATCTGTTGTCGTATATCTAGTGCGGTATATCTGATGTGGTATATCTGGTGTGGTATATCTAGTGTGGTATATATAGTGCGGTACATCTGATGTGGTATATCTGGTGTGGTATATCTAGTGCGGTATATCTGATGTGGTATATCTAGTGTGGTATATCTAGTGTGGTATATATAGTGCGGTACATCTGATGTAGTATATCTGGTGTGGTATATCTAGTGTGGTATATCTAGTGCGGTATATCTAGTGTGGTATATCTAGTGTGGTATATCTGGTTTCTATAGTTCCCATCGTGATGAAGCATATACAGTATAGACTCCACAGTTCTATGAGATGCAATGGAATAATATTTAAGTATGTCCAAACCCAGCTCCACGAATTCAAACCGGCTGCCAGAGTACCATATGAAGATAGGTATCTTCATGCAGACTCTAAAGTATTTGTTTTGTAAGAGCAGAAACAACTAATGTTTGAGCAAAATTTACTTGCCCACATATATTCGTATTCTAATCGCAACATGACCAGTAAAATTCTCCCGCCACACTGCATCCGAAGATGCTAGTCTTCCTATCATAAAAACATCGACACTTACTGCATGAAGTCAATATCAATGAGGTTGAGTACAAATTAGTGGTAACTACCCTCCATACAGATACAGTATCATCGTTGAGATCATAGTTGAACAGCAATAAAGTTTTTAACAGGACTCCACCTTATATACCTAGGAAAGAAAAACACGTCCCTCATGCAGCAAAAAGTGTGCCATAATTGTGTGTGCCTCATAATTCCCAATGTGTGCCATAATTGCAGTTCTATCCTTTATGACTTTGTCGATCTCTTCTCAAGTCTTAATAAACAAGCCAATTTCAGCCCGGTTTATATATATTCATGACCACCCCTTTATTCATTCCTTAACTCAAACAAGTCGCCTTCTAACTCTAACCTTATCCAAACCCATGAATTTTAATTTTCTCTTCAAGATTTCAAAGTTGATATCATAGTATGTAAGTCACTACCTATTAACGTAGCAAATTTTGGAAATTTGAATACACAATTTAAGAATTTATAGAATATAAGATGGAGAGTTATTATTTCATCAAAGGTGATTTGTTATCTTGCTCACATCCCCTGCGGAATGTGGGGACAGAATTCTTCCGCGGTTAGGATTGTTGGTACTACGGGCAGTCAGTTGGCCTACAGCTTCTGCTGTTCTGACCATATGAGGTTGAATTCGTAGTGGTTGTGGTTAATATCCAAACTTACGCGGGAAGAATGTTCAGGTATTTGTTTATCATTCGTTCGGCGTGGTGTTGCGTATTCACACCGGGTGCTACAGCCCACATTGTAGCAGAAATTTTAGACGGGTTTCGCATCTAACCAAAATGGAAGATTTGGTTACATACTTATCTTCATTGGTAAAGGCGGAATAAGGTAGGCTATTCCAATGGGGCGTTACTTGATGCTTTGTATTAAGACGTTGTGCTTTTGAGTACCGTAGTATTAGGCCTTTGCATGGCGATGAATACTATATAAAATAACATAGGAAGCTTGTTATCTTGCTCACACTCTATTAAGAATAACTATTATTTTTTGACTTTTTGGATAGCGTTAAAAAGTTAAAAAGATTTTACAAGAAAGGATTGGTAGCGTAGGTATAACAAATACTATGGTACTAAAGGTCTGTGAAAGACGCATTGTTTCTGCTCGCCAAATATCTTCATTTGAATTATTTTCAATTTGATAGATTTTAATTTAAAAGTTTTGTATTAAAATAAATTAAGTAAATTCATTTTGTCCAACAAATAAAAATAATATATATGTATATATAAATAAATATTAGATATTCAAATAATGTAAGGAAAAGTCACGTTTTTCGGATATTTTTTAAATAAATTTTTAATTAATATAAAAAATCTTTACTTTATAAAAATATGAATAGAATGAAAATTTTCGCTGTATTGTATACATACTAAACTAATATGGAAAACAAGTTGTATATATATAAATATAAAAAATTTTTTTCATAATATGTATTAAAAATTAGAGTTAAGGCCATTTAAAGTCAAAATCCCAAACTTCCGGTATAGTAGTTAGAAAATTATCCTGATAGAATAAACTTATTAAACGACAAACTAAATGTGGCACATCACGCGTTTTTGGTATTTTAGTGTCCTTTATGATATTTACGGCTGTGACTATAGATGGCTTAATATTCTGGTATTTTTTATTAGCCAACAGCATACTTAAATCGTTGAGTGTGCTGGCGTATTGTTGATGAGGAGTATACAATGGTCCACTAATTGAAATATAAAAATGTATAAAATTCAAATTAAGAAATAATAAGAGACAGCTTATTATTTACCTTGTTGTTGGAAATAGTGAAAAAATAACGCAAGCAAGACAACGAGTTAGCACTTTCCGCCTATTTAAATAATCAAAAATAAATAAAAAATAAATACCATAATAAATTTGTAAAAATTACTGATTTGTTATTATATCTTTTTTTAATCCGATAGCATTTAGTAAACCTTCTCCCCAGCTTTCCGCTTGCGACGAGAGCAAAGCTAAATAACTACCTAACATTTGCAATGGCTTTTTGGCTACTTCAGTAACAGCTAGCAGTTTACATCCACGTGATATAATAAGTCCCCAAACAATAGCCAAATGTGGTTCAGTATCTGGACTGTTTGTTTATACAGTATAAAACAACTTCATTAATTACATAAATAATTACATAATTAAACATTACCTCGTTTTAATATTTTGTATGAGTTGAGCTAAATCCTGTAGAAATGTAATCTGTTCACCAGAGCTTTCCATTTTTTCCAATTTATATAAAATGTATGTGTGTAAGGTTAACAGACATGGTCTGCGTATAATAGGCATCAGTTGTAATTTATCTAACGACATTTGCAGAGTATGCATTAGATTAAGCCAACTAGGCGTATGCCAACTTTTTGACTCGTCTGATGTGCGAAAATAATGTACTATACTTGACTCAAGTATTGTGTATGTGCTAGCAATAAAAGCGTTCATGTGACCAATAGCAGTTAGAGTATTGCACATAAGTAAATTTCCAGCGGTACAGTATTGTGCTTGCCAGTTAACCATAACGCTTACCATAACACTGTAAAATAATAGATTTTAAATGTAAAGTAAAGGCAGATATTTCAAAATTATAAGAATCATACTTAGTAGTTTCTTCGCTTTGGGTTTGCATGGGCAGTAGAATTTCACTAATCAATGTGAGTGCCTCACGTTTTTGTTCTTCTATAGTTTTCGTTTTAGTAATACTCAATACTACGTTATCCATGTTGTTCAAGAGTTCTAGAAAAGCAGCTTTGAATGCTGCATTACCGTCTTTGGTAGCTAAGAGTCTTTGATTTTTCGCAGCACAAGCATATAGTAAACGTACGAAAACGCGCGTATATAAAACACGTTTTGCTGGTGCATTCCCTACGCTACCTTCTAAGGGAAGTTCTGGCATCATACCACATGATAAACGTAATAGGCTAGAATAAAAGAAACGTGAGCACAAATAAATAGACGTAATATTTATTGTGGCTGTGAACTAGTTCTGAACTAAACTGGTTTTGATATGTTATTTTACGGGTTCCTAGTGTAATTGAACTGAACCATTAACCAATTTATTCGCTGCAAAAATTTTAGAAAGTTAGTTAACCCGGTTTTTAAACAGAGTTATTGGTTTAGATTTTATATGGTTCACAGCCACATAAAGATAGACAAATACACATACTCTAATACAGCTCTGTCCACATAATTGGTTTCTCCTGGAATTTTTAATACAATCGCTGGTTCCACAGTGTTCACAAACCATTTCAGTAGATTTTCTAGCTCCGCATACTCAACTTTATGCCACGGATATTGCATAGCATCTTCCAAAATTTTACTTGTCGTTATGTGCATGTGTATATTAGGTTCGAAAGCAATTTTGATAAATATTGCAAAAAGTCGTGAAAGTATTGTATCCTGCATTTGTTGAGGAAAAGTTGGTAATGTATCCATAAACCATGACTGCCAATTAATGCGTATAAATATATGTCCTAACATTGCATGCGCTTCCGGTATTAACTAAAAGTAAAGAAATTAATAAAGCAAAAAATACGTGCGATTATTTTTATAAACCTTTTGTAAGCTATCATATATTAAATCTATATAATTCTGTTGCGGTTTGTATAACTCCCACTGTAATGCGGCTAGTCCATTATGTATAGGTGCATATATGTGGGATTCTAAATTTTGTGCACCATAATGATGAACATACCAGCTTAATGTATGACCCAATATTTTGTGTGAAGCTATAATATAAATTGCATAAAAATTAAATAAACATTTAGTTTAAATTTAATTATATATTTAAATTTAAATATTTAATCTTAAAAATAGTTAAAACTACTTGTAGTGACTGCTAATAGCAGTAGACTCTTCAGAATATAAATTTAAAATTGGTGGCCCGTAGTGACAATATGTCGTAGTTATTAGTTACTTCCTAATGCCGATTTGTTATTCCCATTCTGATTGAAAAGGTAATATTTAATTATGATGATGAATATCATCAGTTTTTTGTGCTACAGCTGGACGTAATAGGAGAAGAAACAGTGGTTTTCAATAATATACGCTATAACGCTTGAATGTTGGGCTGATTCTAACTAGACGGAGTTTTAAGATATATATATAAATAAATTAGAAATTGATAAAGTAAATAAAAGAGAGTACTACTCTAGTAATGTAAATTGTTTGAACTAATTGAAATTGTTTAAGCTTTTAAAAATCGTTTTTTTTGAGCTCCCATAGTATGAGCGAACCAAATAGTCTACTAAAGGACAACACTCGAAATGTATATAGAACCTGTGCATACACTTGGCTGCCGTATTTATGACAATTTGACTAATGGCATGCATCGGTACAAGAGCTTCCCTCTTATATATTATACATTATCGGTATAATTTATAAATATTACTTTCATAAAATTTATAGGTTTAATAACTAGACGGAGTGGTCAACTATTTCGCTCATTAACTCATTTCATTCATTTTACGCATTTTAGACGATTTGCAAGGATGAAGGCAATGCCTCACATATGCATATATCAATATTTGCGGCCAGATAATACTATAATAATGAGATAATATTGTTTTTATGTTGTAGATTTATCTTAAAAAATTGTTATAAATTGTGTTATAACTAAATGTACGAATAATATAAATAAAATACTTTTTTTAATTAAAAAATTTTTTTTTTGTAACTAGAAAATAAACTATTATGTAGAACATTACCTGGTAGGTATTCTAAAACGAATATCAGTGTTCTAATAAATGGATCGATAATAACTTTACAAGTTTCAACATGCTGGTCACTCCAAGGATAAAGCACCTTGCCATTTTCAATAAATTGACGTATCCAATTAGATGTTGCAACCTGCATAGTCTCTTGAGTGTACACTATGAGCCATGGTTTATACATATCAATAAGCGAGCCAAACAAAATATCGCTAACTATAAATAAAAAATATATATGTATAAAAAACAATCTTAATTATATAAAGTATAAACTAACTTTGATCGGCTAAAAGGTCCTGATATGTGCAAATAGCTTGTACAACAAGTGTATGACCAAAACAAGAAAACCAGGCTGATAAAGGTTGACAATAATTTTTGTGCTTCGGATAGAGACCATGTAGGCCATGATGTAAACGTTCCCTTTGGAAATGCCGTGCAAATAACATTATTGTATCTGTCGCCTTTAAAAGAAAACAATATATTAAAAACAATATATTAAAAATAATATATGAAATGCATATACACATTATATATGATTTTTGTAACATGACATATAGGTATATGAGAAGCAGTTCCTAGATTTGAGTTTTCATTTCAGGTAGACTTACCGTTGATATTTAATATTGCGAAGGAGTTCTTTCATTCCAAATTATTTATTCTATTATTTTTTTAAACAAAGAAGAATTTAATAGTTTTTATTTTCAATTAATTGCATTTTTTTTGGCTAATCATATAGCTGTTTGTCAAATACTCATAAGCAGTGCTTTTTAAAAATATATTCGTTGGTATTATAAGTCGGTTTATAATTGTTGCACTACAAGAGCCAAGCTTAGTACTTGCCGAATTTTAAGCAATTACCTTCCGCATTAGTTAACCAAACAAGTTAAAGCTGCACGATACTTTCGTTGTTCAAATTTTGATTTTCAAAAGATAACAACGATACCACCAGTCGTGCGTTTTTAATTAGAACAATTTTACAAGTCACAACTTATAGGAACTGCAATCAACTATTATAATATTTGTTGTGTACCTCAAATATTCTTTGTTTCAGATAGATTTTTTTTGTGTCTTGAACTAATGATCATTTTCCATATTTATGTCACGTTGTTAGGAAATGTCTTGCATTTATTATAAACAAAAACTTACCGCTTTTAAATTAAATAAATTTTGACGACGCGCAAAGTCTATAGATATTTCCCGTATCTGCTCAGAAGTAGTGTCTAATTTAATTGCTTCGCAATTAAATCGTTGGAGTAATGAATTTAGTAAGTCTAATATAACGATAGGCATAAGTTTTTGATCAGATATGCGATCGAGCACCAGTTGTAATACTTCGCCATAATGTTGCGGAAAATCATAATCGAATATATGGACCAAATGACGACGAAACTGATCTTGCAGAAGTACAGAGTCTGGTTGCGACCAGGACTCTAAACCATTTGAAACCAACTGTAGTAATTTATATATATCATTTAATTTAGGACGAAATGATTCTAACCACGTGACTATATCGAACTGCGTTTTAGAAAAACCATAAAAATAATTAATATACTATTTAAAAATTCAAATTAATTTGGCATATACCTTAGAGAAAAGTACAAACAGTGTTTTAGTATCACAGTGCTTTAAATGGGAATCAATTAAAAATTTATACATTTTAATAAAATATTCAGGATGTGTGCGACCAGGCATAAAGACATCGGCAAGTTCTTTAAGCAACTCTGAACGTTTTAATGACAATTCCAAAACATAAAGACCTTCTTGCTCCTGATTACTTTGTATAAAAATCTATAAATAAAAATAAATGCTGTATCCATTATTAAGTTTTTTTTTATTAATTTACTTACAGCGAGATCACTAAGTATTTGTGTATAAAATTCCTTTGTGGGTGAAAACTTTGTGGTAACATCTGTTATATTGTTGACGACTTCATAAAATAAATTAATACCAGTTTTCCGAATAGGCTCAGAATTCATGGTCGTAGAAGTTTTAAGTATACTAAAATTGATGAATGTATGTATGTAAAAAATAGCATATATAAGGAAAAATTAATTCATACCTTGTGACAGAACTTATTTCCTCAATAGCTTGTGCAAAATTGTCGACATTTATTGTGGAAATTTCATTAATAATATTATTTTGTCGTTCACAATAATTTTCGATCTTTCTTTCAATGGCTTCATTTTTTCGTATCGCTTCTAGAGTAACCGTGATTCGAGCAGGATTTGTACACTTTCTATTAAATAGCAATGAATTGCAGGTTTTGATTTTTATTTCGTTATATGGAACCATGTGATATAGTTCAACAATTGTGTCTATATAGTTGCGATTAATGGAGTTTAATTCACATGAAGTCATATGAAATTTACTATAATAAAAAAAAAACAAAGAAATTTAAATATAATATCTGTATTGTTATATTTTAAAAGTAAATACAAAAGCGCTTACGTTGCTGTGCTGCTAGTAATTGCTAGTTTTTTCTTCAGTTCCTTAAACGTTTCCACGTTTATTTGCATTCCGATATTATATATAGAGTTGGAAAATTTCGGAGCTTTAACTCTTTTATCATAGGAAGACAATTGTTTTTTAATACGTTCAATTGGTGTTGTTTTAGGTTTTAATTGTAGCGGACTTCGTAAATGTTTTGTAGACTTTAAGCGAAAATTTTTTCTCGCCCAAAGATCGGCAAAATATTTTTGTTCTTTGCGTATATTAGGTAAATACAAAAATTCCGTCCAATGTGACTACATTAAATATAAATATAAATATAAATATGAAAATTAAAATTATTATTTTTAAGGCAAAACCTACATACCGTATTTCCATTCATTATTTCACGCAGCTTTTCTGTGTTATATTGAGGCGGGAAATTATACTGATCACTTGTCAGTTTATTAATGGACGTATCCTCCAACCATAAAGAGTACGTATTCATCATTCTAATATAAGTTAAAATTAATATATTGTAACAAAATGTTAAATGTTAGGGAAGAAGATTTATAGAATGCATTCAGAATGCAGACAATTTATATATAAACATTTAAGGCCGTATGAAAGAAATGCCCACTAAAATAAAGTTGTAGTGGATCACCGTGCAATGTACGACCATGTATCGTTATTCACGCATATACTATAAAACGTTTTATGTTTAGGCTTTTCCAGTTAGTACAACTGGCCACTTTTGCTCTTTCTTAGATCTGGGGGGTTCTACAGAGTCCCTCCCTTCTCTTTGACTAGAACAGTTAAAATTAAGTAAAGAGAGTGAGAGCGTAAAGATCTTTGATAAGTCAAGAAAAATAAATCATATAAAATAAACTATGATTCAAAGTACAAGTCTTTTGACCTTCCAAATTCTTTGCCGATTTTCTGAATGGCAATAAGCATTTATATATAGGTTGTTTGTGGTATATTTAAACTCTTTGTTTTCTAAATTAGTTTAATGTGTTCAATTCTTCTAACAGAGTACTATTTCTGTAAATTTAAAGAACTAACATTAGAAATATATTTTAAAGATCAGGTATGGTAAAGTATTTGCATATTGAATTCCTGATCAGTGGTTCAAATTATTTTAGAAAATTTCTAGTTTAAATATACTTTACAAAGAAGTCATTATTTCTCCCTTCTGTATTTAAACATACTTTGCACAATTTCTATAATAGAAGCTTAAGGCATCATCATCAGCTTTGGCTGTTGCTTCATTATTGTAAAATGTTTCGGCTGCTTTTAGATTGCTTTTTATTTTTTTCATAAGTGGCACATTGAATTCATAAAATTTATCCGATACACCGTAAATATGCTGAAAACTAAAAAAAAAAATAAAATTTAATTTCTTATTGCAAAAAAAATTTAAAGAAATTTGAAACCTGTGCTCGTCATAATGCAGTGGTACTCTATACAGAAATAGTTCGAAAAATTTTTGATTCACTATTGGAAATAGTGGATGATTGATATCCATTAAAGACATGAGATTTGCATATTTATATATGACCAGTAATTGGGCTGGAAATGTTGATATTTTTGTAATCGCTGTTGTTTTCTGTTAAATATATTATATATATACATATATATATATATTCATTTAATTTACTAAATAGATTCACATATACTTGCCTTCAAAGCAGTTTCAACGCTTATTTTGTCATTGGCCACTGTTAATTGTCTTAATAATTCTGCCCAGAAATGTGAGTCAGTTGCGGTAAATTCAATTTCCAATAGTACCAATGCTAACCAGATATAGTTAGGATTTAAATTTGGTATACGAGATTGATTGCTCCTGAAAAATGATACCAATGCAGATTTATTTGTGTTCTTCCATTCATTACATTCCTATAAAAACAAAAAAATAAATTTAAAATAAAGAAACTAATACAAATACATATATAAATACATATAAATTGATTAAATGAGTTGTAAGTATATATGATAATTTAAACAGTATTTTCAAAAGGTCTTTGCAATGGTATAAATGCATATAAATTTGAACCATCAATATTACATCTATTAATAATTTAATATTTTTAATCTTATCAAAGAATAAATTGAGTTTTGTTCATGTTTAACATAAGGTATAATTAATTAAAAATAAATTTTGAAAAAATATTACAAATAATAAAAAAAATATGATGTAAACAAAATTTACCTTATAATAATTTCGAAAATATTCTACGGCTTGCACCCGGGCATCTGGAAATTGATATGCAACTCGTAATATTTTATCCAGTAAAAAAACTACACTACTATTCTGCCAGTTGGGTAGACTTGTGAAGCAGTTAAGCCAAACATTAATAAGATTTAAAGGTGTAGCCAGACCATAACTAAAATATTAAAATACTTTAATAAATCAATTCATATTTAAAATGAAAATACATACTCTGTATATGATGTTATTTGATGATGTATCATATTGTCGAATAACTCAAGAACTGGACCCACTGAATTTGGATATAAAACATCTTTGGCCATTTTTAAATATGTCTTATCGGCGTTTAAAATACTATTCAGAACCGCATGAAAACTATTTAATAAAAATATGAATTAAAAGATATAAATAAAAAAATTATTTACAAAATTACTTTTCACAGTTTGCTAGTGTATCTGGGGTTTCTAGAAATAATGGTACAATTAATTCCAGGCAACGTATCACTGCTGGATATCGATAATCGTTCACTAATAATTTCATAAGTTCAAAACCTTTTTGGCAAATAAGTGGTATGGAATGTCCGTGTAAACTTACTAATATTGCAACATATAAAGCGAGTGGACGTTTCTCAGTTACACCTTGATAAATTGTATCAATACGTTCTAAATCTGATACAAACATTAAAGGATCGATTGGGTTTTGTAGAGTACGCTTTACAGATTCAGCATTTTGATCCATTAAATGTAAACGTAAGACAGATATAACGCTCCAGCACCAAGTGGCGAATTGATCTTTAGTAGATTGTGAAAAATCAATTATGCTCGATACTTGACGCACACTTTCTGTAATTCCTGTTGTGCCAACTACTTCCGGCGCATGTTTTGACAGTGCTTCAGTTATTAAACAAGCCATACGTACATGTATATTATGTGGTAAATATAAACGCCCATCAGAATCGAAACCCCAATTAAGGTGGCTTATAATAATGCGTGATAGCATATTTTCTTTGGACTGATAATTAAAGTGTAGCAGCCACGTTGAAAGTATTTCGAAGCTATCTAAACTAGGTTTCCAATTTTCTAAGGGCAATGACTTAAATAGATAATGTGCATTCTCAATATCATTGAAACGAATTTTAAGTTGAATTAATAAACATGAGAGTAAGTCCTCATATGCCAGTGTAAGATTAACTAACATATCACGAGATGTTTTATAACACATTTCACGTGTCGATTCATTTATATAACCAATCTATAACAATATTAAAATATATACATTTCATTATTCAAGTAGTTGAAAAGAAATTTACATTAAATATATGTAGACATATAGATTTTATTAGTTCCCAGTCGTTGACGATATCACGTTCATTTGCCATTTCAAAAAATGCTTGCAGTAGATAATAAAGATCTTCAGCTGATGAGTCAGAGTTTGCAACATTAAATTTTGTCCAAAATTCCGGTGAATTCATTAAGTCTAAGAAAACTATTAAAAAATAAATTACATGCATATTATTTATAAATTAATATCACATTTTTTTCATATAATTATTATTATAAAAATATATTATAAATTTTATATGTATTTACCTTCAGTCGGTAATTCGAATTTAGAAGGAAAGCCAACACTTAAATAGTAGAATAATTGATATATTGTATCAGCACTCAATGCTTTGAATGGCAATGATGAAAAGTATTGCCATGTTGCTAAGTTACGTGTACGATATATATAACCACAAGCCTTCATTAATAACACATTCAATTCTACTCCAATTCGTTCACATGTTAAAGAATCTTTCGCCAGATTATTGGACCTAAAAATAATATTAAATATTGATTAATACTTCATATATATATAAAAGTAACGTCAATGTATATATATTATGTATATTGATATCAGAATTGATAAAAGGATGCAAATGACTGTCAATAAACAACTGTTTTAATTAGAGGTTTAAATTACATTTTTTTCATTTTGTTATGAATAACATTATAACAACTTAAACTCAACTGTTGATCGTTGTTGCACCCACTATGTTACTTTATTTGGTTGTCTTTATTGTAAAATAGAATTATTCCACAATAATTTTAATTATACAGAGCTACTTTCCGTTGCGAATGTGGAAAGCATCCTCATCCTATTCACATGAGTCATAAATTAGTGTAGATCTTTTGAAACCTCATATATTAACCATCTACCATATTAGAAAATAAATGATACTCGTTCGGTTATGCTGCAAAGAAAAATGCCAAAACTCATAGGGCTCTAATCTTTTTGCGGATTTAACATTTGTTATATTACATTAGTACTCCAGATTATTGAACACAAGCTATTTGCGAAATTATGTTCTAATATTAAAGGTGAAAAGTAGTCCAAAATGTAGACAAGTCAGCTTAATAACTGTGTTCAAAGGATGAGAACATAAATAACAGTTGTTGTCGGTGCCAGCTAACAAGTTCTCCTTATATTCCCTGTATAAAAAATGGGATCGCAATTAAAAAATGCCTTTTGTCTGAAGTCAAGAGACTGGCGAATGTTTTTGTTGGTGATAAGTAAATATTTCTTTCACTAAAGACTAAGATCACATGAGGAGCGTATAAAGGTACCATTGCTTTTAATTTTTAATAATGTTTTAAAATCAGTATTTTACAACACGATAGCCATGAAGGTGTAATTATTTTTGTAGCAACAACAATAACATAATTTTCTTGCAGTATCATTTTGCAATCTTTTTCAACTCTGATGGACACATCGGTTTCTATTTCCATATGAAAATGAAATGGCAGTTTAAAATTGAAGATATTATCCATACCAATCTCTGATGGCTTCTTTAAACTTGGTTTTTGAGAGTAAAATCTTAGCATATTCTGTACAGAATTTCCTTGGTTTTTCAAATTTGAATAAGGCCATTATTTAACTAGCAAGCAACTTACATAAAAAGTTCATGATAATCGATCACGTATTGAATAGTATGACGCACCAGTCGTCCTAAACGTTTCGCTAGCTGCTTATAACGTTCAGTATTATATGTAATCATACCTTCACCAAATATATCTATTAATGTTGAAAAAAAGACAATCGTTCTTAACATTTGATGGGTAGTTATAAGATCAGCTTCAATAATGTAATCATTTAAAAACTTTTCAACATTTAAAACAGAACTGAAAAAAATACAGAATAAATATTAATATATATAACATGAATTCTATAATAAAAATGTGTTTACCTAAATAATTTTTCAAACGGAATTTGATTTAGTAAAGCAATTAAATCACTTTCTTTAAGGCCAATACATTCCCCACTTGACGTATGACTATCTTCACCATCGGAATCGATTAAAATCCAGCGTTCCTCTTTAACAGGATCAGATATTTCCTTATGGGACTATTGTAAAAATTAGTTATTCTTTATTTATAAAGCTTATATGGGTACAAACCTGTGTAAACGCCGTCAAATAATCATTTCGCTTTTTAATGGGTAGAAGTAAGATTTGTAATACAGCAATGCAATGATTAATTTCAGGTGAATCCAACTGTAATGGTAATTCATTAGGTCGAGTACCATTGGATACATTTTCGGCTGCTGTTGAACATGGAACTTGTAAAAACGCTGTAGCCCAACTTCCAACTCCTGTTGGGCAGCGTAAAATGTTGAACAATAAAAACCAGTGGTCTTCCTTTGTTGCAAGTAGTAATTGCAGTGAAACTAATTTTCTTAGCCAACATTTTAAATCAGCATCAAAATTCTATATTTTTAAAACTCACAATATTATATATATATTTTAATTGTATTTGTTTTTTAAACATACCGCATTTGGACTTATTTTACGTGAAAAATGAAAAAGTATAGAAATTGCGCGACGTAATTGTGAAACACATTTTAGCGTTTCAGCATCAAGGAATTTGTGTAGTGAAACTGTGCCGAATTGGGATAATTGTGCTGCATCAGGAATTGAGAGTATATCTGTTATAATACGATCAATCTGAAATTGGAATTTTAAATATTAAAAAAGTGGAAACAAATTAGTAATATTTCAATTATTGCATGGCATGCAATCTTTAATGCATTAATATTCATAAATTGTAATGGTAATTAATTACATGTAATGATTCATACCTTCACTTTTGTTATCTTGGCGATAATCAAATTCGTTGTATAGGTATAACACACTAATTCGTATAAACGTGTTAGTGCTGCAGAGGCAGTTTCCAATTTACCACCATCGACTTGAGCAATACTATAATTATATGTATATGTATTCCATTTGATTATATTAATTATATTGAACTAATAACTTACTTATATGTTACACTTTCCTTAACTTCAACTCTGTCAGCGCAGAGATTGGAAAATGTTTTTGTTATTGGTACTTCAATCCATATATTTTCTCGCGCTTCATCAGCTTCAGTACGAAATTTGTTAACATCATATAAATTCATTGTTAACTTGCTTTGTAAATTATAATATTCCTTTAAGGCATTATATAGAGGATCAGCATCATATGATTCTAGAAGTGAGTTCATAAGAAATTCCAACTCAAATTGCTTTACGATTTCTAATTCCTTGCAAGAATATATTTGTCTTAATTCCTCAATGGTAAATGGTTTGATGTTGCTATTGATTATACAAGAATCTATAGCTTTTGTTTTATGAGTTTTCATAACTACTTTCGATATTTGTTCATCATACTGTAAGGGTTTTAAATTTGGATATTGTATTATAGTCGGTGTAGGAGCAAAAATTGCCGCTGAATAAATGCTTGATGGAGGAGCGGTCGGTGTTACATCCTGTTCTATTTCACTTGCAATTGACTCCGTTGCTGTGGTAGAACTAGATGATGGTTCAACTGTTGTTTCATTTATATTATTTTTATTATCCTGCAAGAAGGTATCAGTTAGTGCTGTACTGGTTATATTAGTTAGTGCTTTGCTGGTAGTGGGTAATTCTTGTTCGTCCGCTGCAGCCTGATTGAGCTCATCTTGCAATGATATTGTTTGAGAGGTTTTTGCATTTTTTTGAGAGTTTTTTATATAGTCTGGTTCTTTATAATCGGATGATATGAAGCAGTCATGGCTGACTATTGCATCAGAACTAGTAGCTACTGTTTCAAATATTTCTAATTTATGTAACTTTTCTTGTAAGCTTTGTACTAATGCTTCATTATCATCATCAACTACTCTTACAGAAATTTCAGTGTTAGTGGACTCTTCTGGTAAGGCTTCATTCGACTCTAGTTTATTTCGGGTTTTGTCCTTTTTTGAGACCTAAAATATAAGTTTATTTTAAAATTTATATTAAAATATTAAACTTTTCGTATATATACTTTTTTTGGCTTGGTTAGTGTCGCCATTATTTATAGCTTTACCACACAAATTTTATCGCTATCAAATTGATGCGTAATACAATCTATTGCAGTATTCTTTTTGTTATTTTTTTGCTTATTTATTTTTTTTGCATTGCAAACAAAATTATTTTTTTAAGGCATAATAATTTAAAAAAAAAATTTATAATTACGTAGTTGCAGATAATATATTTAATGTTATAAAATGTTTATTTATAATAAATAGCCACATAATCACATATCAAATCAAACAAGATATATGGTATATTGTAGATTCCCCGAAATTAAACTAATTTGTGCAAGTAAACATATTATCGCCAACAGATGTTTTTGACACTTTGTGCAGATGATAAGCGAGGAGACTTGGCAGCATTTTTATTTTACTAAACATAGCTCACAGTTTGTCATTTCAGTTTGTTGATTTGTGTCCCGTTAAAAATAGAAGTTGTTTGTGCAAATAGTTTAATGCTGTGCATATATATAAAAAATAATTAAATATTAATAATGACTGTTTTTAATTTATATATATTTGATAAGTTTGGCACACTTTTGTACTACACGGAATGGAATCGCACAAAAAAGTCTGGGATGACAAAAGAGGAGGTATGTGGCAATTGAGAATTTGTTTATTTTTGTATAAATAATTTCGATTATATTACAGGAAGCTAAACTTACTTACGGTATGCTTTATTCGATCAAATCATTTGTAGCAAAAATATCTCCACATGATCCACGTGAAGGTTTTTTATACTATAAAACGAATAGATATGCGCTGCATTACTTGGAAACACCGTCTGGTCTAAAGTATGTTGCACTAGATTGTCTTTTTAATTTGTTAAATTGTAATTGTCTTTGTTTTAGATTTGTTTTAAACACTGATACTGCAGCTTTAAATGTAAAAGAGTTGTTGCAATTAATGTATGCCAAAGTTTGGGTTGAGTATGTAGTACGTGATCCGCTTTGGACACCAGGCACACCAGTTACTTCGGAACTCTTCCAAACGAAACTTGATGAATTTATAAAGCAATCATCTATTTTTGGTTTACGCAGTATTTAATATTTAGAAGCTTTGATATTTTTCATAGTGAGTATAATTCTGTAAATATAGAAAAAACGTTTATATGGAAACAAAATAATTTGTATGTAATCTTAAATATTGTGTTATGTATTATTACTTTATAAACTTATATAAGTTTAGCTTAAAAATCTGTGACTTTCTGTATCTGAAGCAATTGTATATATAATTTCCAATTTTAAGTACGTTTTTATCAGATTTGTGATGTAAAAAAGTACCACATGAATATGACTTAATATATTGTTTTTTTTTTATATAAAACTTTGTTTGATAAATACTGTTGATCCAAGCTAACACCAAACGTGTAAAGAGTGAAATTTGATGGGTGATCGATGACATTCACTTGCTCCACGATTCGCCTTTGTCCAAAAACAGTGACTGATGAGTGGCTTAAGTCCTTACAGCGGTTGTCTCCACAAGAGCTTCAAAGGACTTACTTTGTTTATAATACAGAATTCGATTCAATGTTGATAGCGATTAACGTCAGAAAACACTATTTCTAAATAGGAATAATTCGCAAGGAATTTACCGCCTATTTTCAGTAGTAACTGGAAGAAACTATGGCAAGGGATTGATTTGAATAATTGTTGTTGGCATGTAAGACATCATGTGTTAGCGGGCACGTGAATAAGAAAATTGTGTGCGCAATGGCAACATACACTTTTACCACCGTTGATCTTGATGTATGAAAAACAACTGAATGAGTAGTTCCAGTACATGGGACGTAGTTAGCTCTGTTGATGTGATGACGTTTAGTTATACTGTTTCAATATATTACTTATTAATCATTCCTTTAAAGATTTTACACCTTTGTTTTTTCTATAATAGCCATCGATCCAGTTTAGATCAATAATATATTTCAATTACGCATGTTTCCGCCTTTCGTAGCCTATTAGTAACAATCACCAAAGAATTGAACTGTGAACCAGGTTCTTTATAGCGAACACTGGCAGACTTTTGCGTGTAGCTTTGTATTCCAAGATAATTCAACAGTTATCTACAATTTCTCGTAATATAAGACAAAAATGGGAATTCCCGTTAATTGATAAGTATAAGGATGTCCGAGATAATAGGATGTTGAATATCACGAATGAATCACCAATCATATTATCTGCAAAGTTGCTAAAGTTTAGATGAACTAATCTTAAAGTGAAGTTCAAATAAACATTTAAAATTACATAATTTTAAAATATGTTGAGATTTATCCAGATCTTTAATTTAATCTTTTAATAAAGAATTAGAGTGATTAACGTAGCTAATAACTAACTTAGGAAGACTCTTATTATATTTAATAAAGACTTTTCTCACATTATTTAATTCGTTCAAAAATATCATATAATATAAAAACGAGTTTCATCAACCTAATTATTTATAAGAGGAACTAAATGTTTTCAAATCCTGCTTAAATCAAATATACATCTGTTCACCTCTCTATACACTGAGTTGAAGAAGACTGTTGGTGGATATTTGAAATAGTCCTCGAGAGTGTTTCTATGAAGACAGAGAACATTATACCAGACGGTTCCCAAATAGTTGGGTTTTCATAGAAAGCAACTCAGAAATGTTTTTCTGGCAGACATATCAGACTTGGGGATTTTTATTCTATTATAATTAACAAAGCTTTCAGTGATGAGACAACTCAAATTAATCACATAACTCCAAAGCATCTTCAACTATAATAATATTTCTCAAACTGGAACAGTCTTACGAAAAATTTTTGGCTGCCCAAAAAATCATGTATGCTAAAGATCTCCGAGAAGCTGTTTTTTTAGGGTTGCAATGACAAAGTATTACTATCGTGTGCGTATATAACAATTACATATCGGAAGCCCAGCAATATTATATCAAGTTATATGGCTCATTATTACTCAACGAATTTATGCAGAGCCTTGGAATAAATATAAATCCCTGATTTTAATCATAAAATATCCTATAAATCGATTGTTGCCTATGTATGAAGGTTTTACAATAAATACTAGTTATCCATAAATAAAATTGACGTTTTTTCTCTGTTAAATTTATTAAATGATAATATTTAAATTTATTTAAAATCATTAACATTTCTTTGTTATAAGTACATCATATTACACACGTCTTTAAATTCTATATTATACAATAATATTTAAAAAAATACATAATAATTTTTATTATAAAACTAATAGGAATTTTTTTTTATTATTAACTTTAACCGTATTTTTGTGTAAATATATATATATGAACATATACAATATTATTAATATTAATTTATAATAGGTTTATATAAAAATTATATAGCTTAAAAATATATTTATCTTATATTATTTATAAAATTAATTGTACATTGGTTATTTTTCGAAATTGTACATGCATTGTTTGACATTAATTTTATAATATTAGTTTATATATTTTTAAATTTTATTTAATTCTATTTTAAAGCGCTATATATAAAAGTCATTAATAAAATAATCACAGTATTTTTATCTTCATACATGTGCTTGTAATACACACTTATTATACTTAACTATTTAGAGTACCGTATTTTAAATTAAAAAAAATAATATTTTAATATTTTTATATAATATATATAAAATAATATATATTTAAAATTTTAATTTAAGTTAACATGCACACATTTTAAACAAAATTAATTTTAGACATTCATATATTAAAATAAAACTTATTTTTTATAAATTTGTGTAATAAAATCGTAATTAATTTTTCAAGTGATATTTAATTTATATACATATATATATATTTGCATAAGCCACCAAAGTTATTCGACATATTTATTAATACAATAACATTATTACTTTAAAAAAGTATTTATACAATCTCATTATACATATGTATTCAACTTTTTATTACTTTGTTCGAAACTAATTAAACTTATTATTTAATTAATTTTATTAATTAATAAGATATTAATTAATGATCAATAAATTTATTGTATCGTAGTTTTTGTTTTCAACACATTATTATTGATGTATATAATGGTTATAATTATTATTATATTCTTAATTAATATTATACTATTTTTTGTTGTATTCCATTTATTTTAAATTATATATTAATTAAGTTATACTTCTTTTTGATTTTATATACATATTTGTATTCATATTTTATTTACTTTTATAATCAATACTTAATTTATAATTATAAAAAATTATATTATTTTTGTTTTAATATATAATATTTTTTTTACAATTATTAATTTGTATTTAGAATTAGTTTAATATTATTTATAATAAAAATTATAATTTGGTTTTTTTCAATTATATTATATCAATTAGATTTATAATATTTTGTATGCGTATATTATAAATTTTATATAACCAACATATTTTTATTTCCAAATATTATATATTTTATTTATTTTTTGCTGATTCTAATTATAATCAAGCTAATATAAATATTTTAAAATTCAATTTTTTTTAATATTACATTATACACATTATTGTATTATTTATATTTTAATATTTTTTTTTTATTATTTTATTTATATTATATTTTTTATATTCTAATATTTAGTTTTGTAAATGATAAATATTTTCTTTTAATAAATAATTTTATTATTAAATCTTATTATTGTTTTTGCTATTAATATGTTTGAAATTATTTTATTATAATCAGCATAATTTTTATTTTTTAGTTTAAAACTATCGACACAAAATTATTATTTATTTTATTTCATTTATTAAATAATTTTAAAAATGTAACTTTTTAAATGTTCGTTTTTTGAAATTCGGAATTTTATTTATATCGTTTAAAATAATTATAATTATGTTATATTAATAAGTAATGTTTTATTTGGTAATTGTTTTTTTTAATTTTTTTATTAATTTTTTACAAATTTTTTTTATTGATATTTGAAATTATTGCATTTGCCTAATTATTTATTTATATCATTAATAGTTATTTATATTATTACTATTACTATTATTATTATATTTATATTATTTATTATATGTTATTTATACTATTTATTACATTTGTCTAATTATGTATTTATAACCCGTTGTTTCGAATTTTAAATATTAAATAAAATATTAATTTTATATTACTTTTTAATTTTATTCTCTTATATTTTTATTTTGTTTAATGTAATTAAAAATAAGAAAATAGGTACTGTCTTTAAAGTATTATATTCTTATACTATTATTTTTAAGCTTTATTGAAGTTTTTTTTTATATATATTTATTATATCTTATATTTTATATTGTAAAAATTTCTTAATAGATATTAAAAGTTTGTATTAATTCCTTATTTTATTGACTATATTTTTTTAAGTAATTCAAATGCCAATTATTAATAGCAAATACTACTTTTGTATAAATATAATAATAATTATTTGTAGGTTTTTTAATAATCCCCTGCACAGATTTTGTTTTTTTTTTAAATGAATCTTAATTATATTATTTTAATATTCTTGTTAACTTAAAGGTTTTTACGTATATCTAAGTATTAAGTATTGAGACTTAAGTAACTAAAATATTAACAAAATTATCACACTACATCTTTATCTGAAAATTGGCGATAAGTCCCACTGTTATTTGCACTTTGCATATCTGCTGTAGCAATTCTTGAGTCAGTATTGGATTTGGACTTGTCTCCTACTATACCGTGTGTAAAAACAATTTCAATGGGACGTTTATCCTTTTGACCGTTGATTGTAGCTGTTGTTGCCGCCGTTGCACCGATAATAAGATTAGCTTCGTTTTGTGACTCAAAAGCGTGATTGATTTTGGCTCCCTTGCCATTGGTGACTGAAGTTAAGTCACTGTCGACCTCTTTGACGTAATAAGGTTTTTTGCCAGAAAAGCGTTGACTTAATTTAAAAACAAGTGGATGCAATAAGTTTGAATCGTAAGCGTCATCAGGACTTTGTGTAAGATAGCTAATGATGAAACCTACAAACACAGTTATTGCTGTACCAATCAAGCTGTAGTACATGTAACTAATTGAGTAAAAGGTTTTTAAAGGATTCCTGAGAAAAACAGATAAACAAAATGCATGTCAATATTTAGTGATTTATCTTTTAATATTTAATTACGAGTACGTACTCCTCTTGGAATGCAGTTGTTGTTTGTTCCATTTGTGAAAAATTTGCTGCCAAAGAAAAGTCGCTCTCGATTGGTGTGTGCATGAGCAACCAGTGAAAGTCATCATTAGGTTTACGAATTGATTGCGAAAATGTGAAATTTGCACAACCCTATAAAATAAATAATGGGGAAAAAAAATCAATGTAGTATTTTATCATCATGTAAAATTCGTTTGCATAATTTATTTTGTTTACCTCCGTTGATGTTGGCAGTAAATCATCAGTCGACGATTTATTTATTGTCATGGAACCACCAATAATCCACAAAACAAAAGCGCATGAAGCCACCATACCAGCGGAAGTGCCCTATTGCAAAATATAAATAATATAGCAGAAGTTGAAGTGTTAGTAAATTTAAAACAAATAACACAAATCGAAATTGTTGTTGAGTTTGCATAATGCAGCAATAAATTCAACTTAAAATTATACCAAACATAATTAAAACTTAATTTGAAAATTTATTAATTACCTTCCAATTAGCGACTGGCACCAAAATGGCCAGTATGAAGCAGCCTAAAAGTGGTCCAGATGTTGCAGAGAATGCCAACATCGATGATTCAATTACGCCCGATAACAAACCTACGCCAAAGGCCACACCACCGATGACGATACCAAATATACAAGTTACAACCTTAATTATAAATAATTGCTGCTTGTCGCCGAGTCCTTTGAAGTGCGGCAACAAAGTTAGGAAATCTTCACAGCAAACAGTTGCCAATGAATTTAAATTTGAGACCATCATGCTGTGCGCGATTAAAATAAAATTAAAACGTTAATTCTTTTCTTATTTTAAACTTGTCACGAAAACAATATTTTTTTCGAGTGTTCCCACTCATTGTTAGTATATCATAATTAAAATTTATATATTGTATATTATACAATAGCAGTAGCAGTAGCAGTAGCTTACCATAAAGCACCATTAAAAAGACACGCCATAAAAATGCCTAAGAATCCAGGAATAATGGCTAATTGGTCTTCTACGAAAAACGGCAGAATACCATCAGTTTTTTCAATATAGCCTTCTGCGTAGGGATCACAGTTCACATAAGTGGAATAGATTACTAAACCGGTAATCCATGAGAGTGAGAAGAAAATAAATATGACGGGTATATTTAACATCATAGCTCTGTAAATAAATAAAATGTGTTATTAATAAAGCGTTTTTTTTGTTTATATTTGTTTATTTCAATAGTGCACATTAAATTTATACCATAGATTAATCTTGATTTACCTTTTTACTTCTTTTAGGGATTTTAAACTGACATAACGTTGCATGAAATTCTGCTGGCAGCCAAATTGTGAAAGAGACATGAATAATTGTCCAAACCAAGCTGAAGCTGTGTCCACACGCACCGTCATGTCTCCGGTAAAATTAAGAAATGATAGTCGACCTAAAAAAAAACAAAATAATTATTTAAATATTTTAATAATTTAATTATGTCATGTAAATAAATTAAGTATAAACATAAATATATAAAATTATGTATCCATATAAGAAAATATATAATATTTATCTTAATTTAAAAAGAGTGTTTGAATTTATATAATTGATATAAATTATAAATAAAAAAATTGTATAAAATTATACAATTATATAATTAATTTATATAATTGTTCCTAATTGTATAGAAATCCACGCAGTGAAATTATGCATTCCGCATCATCCACACTGCCGAAGTTGTGGAAACCTGCAGGAAAAAGAACCCATTAAACACTTTTAGGAAGATATTTCTTTGATAGCTTATTAGACTGTTCATCGGTAAAGACGAAAGACCTATTAAATAATTAAATTCGACTGGATTGATTAAGTCTAAATCTACTACATTAAGTGTTCTTGCGACAAAAGTGGTAGCAAAAGGTAGATCTTCTTTTACGTACAAGTTTTTCAGTTTTTTGTTAAAATTAAGAACATGCATGGAGGATTAATTATGTATATTTAAATGTGTGAAATTAAACCAATAAATCAATGTGTATTATTATTATTATTATTATTATTATTTTGATTATGATAGAAAGAAGGGATAGTGCACTGCGACCTAAAAGATCAATTTGTGTCCCTTAGTCGGATTAGAGTGGTTCTCCAAGTCCGATTTCTTTAATAATAGGCAGTATAGAGCCTATCTTTCCTAGTCTTGGATCCTTATGGTTCATAAAATACCCTCCTAGGTGTTTCTTCCGCTTGTGTATCAGTGTCGAACACTCCCCAAGCACATGGTATGCAGTTTCTTTCTCTTGTCTACAACTTCAATGTGTAAATATAATTACAATAATTTTTCTGTTTTAAAAATTTAAAGAAATATTTAAAAAATATTTGAATTTTCTCTGAAATACATTTTCAATAGAAACTGAACTAGATAATCACTTTTCGATGAACTTCATTTCAAGTTTATTTTTTTGTACTTTGCGGCTTTTATTGCTTTTATTGCTTCCTCGTATGACAGAAAAAATACCTAATTTAGTATAAAACTATGTAAACATGATATTAGCATAACAAATAAGGGTATTATAAATATATTTTACATAAACAATAACACAAACAACAACATGTGGTAATGTTAAGTAAGCGGAAGGAATTTTAACGGAAGGAAGAACATAACAGAATCTTTCAAATCACCGGAAAAATGTGAAATGAGCAATAAATTTTGTTGTTTTGAGATTTTTTTCCGTTAAATTTTGGAAAAACCTTACTAAAAAGTACAACAAAAAGTTACAAAATTAAAGAAAATTGGCTTATCATCCTTTTTTGATGTCGGTATATATTATAATATAGGTTTCTATATACGAGTATGAGCAAATATTTATTTAAGTAGACAAGGAACCTAAGTCAATCATAAAATTTTAGTTTACTTTTTCAGTTTAATCCAGAAAAGCACAATTAAATTGGCATTATTACCACATTTTTACCTGTAACCGAAAAGTAGCAAAAGTTGGATGAAAACTTTTATCCTGTACAGTTACAATTTAAGGTACATGGTGGGCTATACGAGTATTCACACAGACATAAATACACAAACCCAGATTAAGTTGTAAATACACTTAAAGTAAACCAAACATATAATTTCACGTATAAACTTCTTTGAATCTCATAAACGGATCTTACCTCTCCGTGGTTTATGTTTATTGCAATCCCTGTCTTTTGCATATTTATTTTTAGAAATTTTTTATTATCCTTAAAATTCATAAAGGGTTTAAGAATTTTTTCATTTGCTGTTATTTTCTAGTTTTAAATGTTTTTGAACTTTAAGTTTTTTTCTAACTTTTAAAATTTGTCCAGGACTTTAACTTTTTTCTTAGAATTTTTCCTTACGGGTATGTATACTGGCATTTTTACGGGTATATTCACACTGTAAGTGAAAATGTTTGGCTTAAATGCAAATGTTGACTTGTATGTGCGATTATTTGTATTAAACAGGAGCTATGGAATAGTTTTGTATGTGCATAGATGTGTAAACATAAATTCTCAAGAGGCGAACACTTATGCGGGTAAAGGACTCGACCGTTTTATTATCTTTTACTCATATTGGTGACTATGAAACAGCTACAGACTTGGTAAAATGAACCAAGTCTAAAATGTTATTTAAACCAAAATTAGCTGGAAATAAAGAACAGCCCTGTTAATTTTTTTTCCTATGCCACTGAATTTCTATGTAAGTATGTGTGAGTGTTTGTTTTGGGCAGAGTGTAAGTAGCACTCAGTGCCATTTTGTTTTTCTTCAATCAAGTGACCATGCCTAACCGCCGCAGGATATTTTTCCTTGATATCGGTTGTTTGCGTTTTTGTGGCAAATATTTTTTGCCGATATTTTACACATTTATTATATATTTATCTCACAATTTCCTTTAAAATTTTTTTTTTTATTTTTCTTTTAAAATCTAAACACCCAATCTGATTTGTACGCTTTATTGCAATTTATAAAGATTATTTTTATTCAACATGTACAAAGTACAAACGTACAAGTGTAGAGGAGATAATCACTTCTAAGAGGTTTGCTTAATTCGTTATTTGTCTGCCTGAAGGAAGAAAATAATGTTCATATATTGCTTATTGCTGTGTTGAGTGTTTTGAAAATGTTATTTTTTGATGTTTAATTATAGAATTCCTTGTTAAAATGTTATTTAAAAAAATGGAAGATTCAAAGATAAATACTCATAAACGTCAAGATGAACTAGATTAGCAATCGAAGAGATTTTAATTGTAAATATTTATTAGACATTAAAATGTCAATTATAGGAATGAATTGCGAATATTTTCACAGCACTTCATTAAATAAAAATACAGCGTTGGGCTTAATGGGCTTAATAAATATAAGTCTAGGTTCATTTAAGTCTGGAATAGCGGCAGTAATAAAGAATAATCGAATAAATATATAACCATTAATTTGAACTATAATTTTAATAAATTTCGTTGAATCAGTAAGTTTCAAAACTAATTACTTTATAATAATATCAGTTTTATTTTTGCAAAGATAGATTTTATTCAGCAATATATGATATAGCAAAACAGCAAAACTTTTTAAATATTAGTATTTCTATTGCTGGTTCTATTGATAAATAAAAGTAACTGGCCACTACTAAAGTTAGATATACCTCTGAGAGAACTATAGGAAAAAACTAAGTGTGATTCTGAAGTAGCTTGAACATAGGCACGATAGGTGTTCAAGTGTCTCCTCCTCGAGCGCCGGTAGATATGTACTACAAGAAATGCCATAGGTGCAGTGGAAGACTGGCTTCAAGCCGTCCTATAGTCAGGTACATCGTTAGGACCAACATTGTTTTAGATACTTCTGATTTACTTCTTTGCACTAAGTCAGAGTTTCTACATTTGGGGTATAAACGTCATGCTGCTTTTAATCTGGCTGATGAAGAAATATTAGCTAATTTCTGTTCAAATATTGTATGTAAACATTCATCTGTGGTTGGCAGAAGCAGGTATTGATTCGCTCGAAGACGCGCTATGTCTCGCTGGCTCATCAGGTGGCTCGTTCCTCGCTGTAACAGTATGTTCAGGAACTCAAACTAGAGTTATCTTGGAGTTGACAAATCGTAATCTTAATAAGTTGAGAAATCGTCTACATTCGTGAAGTATCTTGGACGAGATGTAGACTGCCGATATTTGCCTGATTATCTGTGAAAATTATTTATATGTATATGAAAGTTCTTGCAGATTTTCTACTTCACTTGGTAAGAGATAATAATAAATAAAGAGCAATAAAAATCTCTTTGCATTACATATTTTTAGTTATGGCTTCAAATCAATTTAAATTCAAATTTATATTTAATTTTCAAAAAAACACATAGTTCTTGCATTCGCCAATGAATATTTTTGAAATAGTTTTTAGCATAACGAGATATGCCATTAAATGCCTAAGCAGAAAATAATGTATGAAAAAATGTGAAAAAAATGTGCAGAAAAATAAAAATAATAGCGAGAAATAAAAAAAAAAAAATTTCAAGTGACAATTACTCCTGCTGCGTATTAATGTCGCCGCCATATCAACAGTATTTCGAGTCGAGGCTGAGTCTGAGTTCTTGCTGTTCTTGTGGCTGCTAACATTGCCTGTACTGTTAATATTTAGCAGCATAATGAGCACTTCTTTAACACAACGCAACGGCACACAAATCAACACAGACATACACACTCATGCTAACAGCCATGTCAAGAGCAGCGCTCTTATTATTGGCGGTTAAGACAGCAAATATTAGACGCTGTGGTCTGTATGAATGGGAACATTTTAATAGTCACCATTCGTCAGCATAAATGAGTTGAGCAATAAGGAATTCGCATTTATTGTTTTTGCTTCTATTTTGAATGTTGTTGTTGTTGTTATTATTGCTATTATTGTTGTTGTCATATAAAGAAGCGACATTTTTGCGGCATGAAATTATTTATCGTCGTATTTTTGCGCATAATATGAATACTTTGTGGCTTGTGCCATTTTATAACTGCCACTTGTAAGCATTACCATCAATGTAAGCAGCACACACAATAACAAATCCACAGTGAAGTATGCCATTTAAATGCTTTTGTAGACTTTTCACAATCATTTTTTTATGATCCCTCACAATTCGAGTACAACATATTTGACATTTGAATTTTCTTGTATTTAAAATGGTTTTATGTTTTTATGCTACTAATTGAGCATTCATGATTGATTCTACGCTACCTAATCATTAATAATCATTTCCAAATTTAGTCTTTGCTTTAGCTTCGATAATACCAATGTATCGATAAATGTTTTGTTCCGAGAATATGAGCCTAAATAGAGCTATTGTTCAATGCTTTCATGTTTTTCGCTACAATGCTTGCAAATAAATGCTGCTAATGTACTATTAGCAGTGCTAGTGAAATGAGTAGGGCAATAAAGTTTTTGTGCTGTCGGAAAGAAACTATATCAATCATTTGCGAATTACTTACCATTATTGCGGTTCAATTCATACACTTGTTTTGGTCCGCCGCTCGCAATTATGCCTTTAATGATGACCACCATTGTAACAATAATTATTGTTATTGTTTGTATAACATCTGCATTAATAGCTGCCTTTAGGCCACCCTATAGAAGATATTAATACAGAAAAATTAATAAAATAATAAATAGAATAGAAAAGAATAATGCATAACAGTTTTAAGTAGTTTATTATTTATTTATATATGTGTACACATAGACATATGTACCCCTAAGATAGTTTACGAGGGTGGTGAACATGTTAAAATAATAAATTAATCAAAAATGAATTGAATAAATAAACTATAGTTTGCATCAAAAGAAACTTAACTATAAAACAATAAAATGGGTTTGTCATTTGGTAGCAATAGTAAAAAAATATCGTATAAGGTGGATTTTTTAAAATTATTTTAAAAAATTATATTATAAGCACAGATGAAAATGGATTTCTTAGTATTCATCTTGAAAAAAACAGAATGTTTAATACGCAACTCTGAATGATAGTTTAAAATTGTAGATCATTTAACAGAGTTTACTACTTTTTAATATAATTTGCATTCAAACAAAACCTTTACACTTAATGAGAAAACTATTGTAATCATGGAAGTATATTTAATAGACCTTTGTGTCCTTTGTATTATTATATTAAAATTTAACACATAAAAATTAAAAATGTTTTTTTTTTAAATAAATAAAAAATTATTTTTTATAAATTTGTGATAAATATTTAATTGTATTTTAATTTTTATAAAAAATTATTTGTATTATAGCTATTTCCGTTTACTTTGTAGACCATTTTCAGTGCACAGTGTAATAAAACGTATTGAATATTGGCTGTAATAACAATTTAGGTTAGGTTAGGTTCTACCGTCGATCCCTAGTGGATCCACCTAGGCCTAAAGGCTCATTGTGTTATCATATATATAGGATAATAACAATTTATTAATATATATAATATTAGCATAACATAATATGAATTTTAAGTAAATATATTAAACTGTTCTCAATTTTTATTTAAAAAAATGTACATGTATTAAATGTACCATTAATTTCATCTTTCCAAATTCTTTTATGTATTTGTCCTCGTAATATTTTTTTTTATATATCAAATCACTTTATATAATATTCTGTGAATTGGTAATCTACTTTTACTGTAACTACGCTGTGTTTATAGTATTTAACAGTGTGGTTATGTGATCAAGATTCAAGTATATATTAAAAGCTACTAGGGAATTAAAATACCTACGGTTACTCTTAAACTGCACCATAATATTTTTATTGCATTTTATATTTTATTCTTAAAAAGAGACGAAATTAAAAGAAAATTGCTTCGAGCAAAATACGAATACAGTCTGAAAATGTTTACGAGTATTATGTCAAGTACAGTACAAACAAATATAAAGTTTTGAAGAGTTTGGTATTGATATATACTAAGAATATTATATAAAATCTGTCTTTCATGTATGTTTAATATTAATAAACAAATAAAAAAGAGTGAGATATAATATAAATAACTAAATAATTAATAAAATGATTACGATTAAATATGTTAATCGTAATTGAGAGTCTGTGCGTAAGTTATCCTTGATGATCTCAATTAATTGACACTGTAAGAAGTTTGTTTTGGTAGTAGGTATGACCCAAGTTCAATTACGGAAGTGTCACTGTACGACGTACTATTTGTATATATTTTTAAAGTTTCATATATATTTCACACTTTTTGATTACATTCCTTGTGTGGCAGTAAAATTTTTTTTGGTCAAATGTGCAAATATCCTACGGCAAACGTAAACAGGAATTTAATTTGGTTACTGGAAAACATATGTTTCAAATAGTAAAATGGAATTACAAATAAAATGGCTATGCTGAAGTCGTACAAAACGGTCAACACATGCCAACATAATAAAATTTTTGTAGAAAAATTTGCCAGCGTTATGTGAAGTAAATAAATGTGTGTAAAAATATTCCTACAACCACACAATTTTTTTTTTTCACCACAGAAATGTTCACAGTTATTTTAAATATGCAGCGAACATAATAATTTTATAATATTTTAGTAAAAACTGTTAAGATAATATAAAATTTAATTAAGCAAGCTTTTTTTTAACATTTTTTCAGAAAAAAAATAACCACTTACAGTTTCAGTAACTGTTCTTCTTTGCGTGTGGAATAAAAATGTTGTTTAATGGTAGTTTCAATTAGGAACTTAACATGAATGTATCAAAAATTTACACATAAAATATATGTGTAAATAAAATAAAAAGAAAAAAAAATTTACACAGAAAGTATATTGCACTTAAATTAAATTTAAATTTAATTTTTTGTTTTGTTTAATTATTTTTTACAGTTCAACAGAACAAAAATTAGTTCAAGAGTCAACTAGTCTGTCCAAAAAAGTAATTAAAAAAATCATGTATATATTATGTATATGAATTTAAATCTTTTTATATTTAATAAAAACTATATTCAAACGAAATTGCTTTAATTACATGTATGAAGTACAAACATACACTGTCTGACGGTACACTGATTCATGTAAATAACATGTAACGATTTTTTTTATTAATAACAAATAAAAAGTAAAAAAAAGGTTATGCTAACTTTTTTTTAAAGTAAATTACAATGTTTTCTGATTTAATAAAAAATCATGATTTTTTATTTAATTGCAGTTGTCGAAATTTAATCCACAAATAAATGATTAAAAAATATATTGCAAAGTTAACATTATAGAAAAAAAATTGATGAAAATTGCTTACTGCGAATATAATGGATTTGTTATAAAAATCCGTATTGCAAATTCGGCAATTCATTCTTTCAAATAGGATTTTTTTTTGGCTTTAAACATTAAAAGTTAATCAATAATTTATAGGAAATACTCAATGTTAATAAAAACTTGAGTTCTGCACTCGTAGAATTGTAGAAAAGAATACTGTCTGTTCATGGACTTTAAACATAAAAAAGGACATTTGCTTTTATTAACACTGAGATCAGTAGTAGTGTAACGTTGGAGTAGTAAAGTTGGTAGTTTACTGGACATAGTAGAAAAGACATTCCATTTACTAAAATAATCCTTATGAGTAGTTATAAGTGATAAAATTTTATTAATAATATTTTTATAAATTATTTTATTTTATTTGCAAACTAATTTTGAAGCAATAAACGAATTTTTGTGTAACAGATAAAGACAAGAATAATTGATCACCTTTGAAATTTTCTATTATAAAATTACCATACCATTAAATTCTGCTTAGTAAGTTCAGACACCATTTTAATTTCATTGTAGATCTAACAATCCACAATGGACAATAGTCCATAAGTTTTTTATATGCAATTTTCAAATTATAATACTATAATATATAAAGTAATTTGCTTAAATGAAAATATATGGTCTTATAACCTAGTAAAGGACAAAACTACTTGTAAATTTGGAAGAGATTTTGTAGAAATAAAACTTATACATAAATAATAGCATTCCAATGATGAACAAGAACAAGAAGAAAAAGATAATTACTCAAATAATTTCTTAAGTAGAACTAACTTGGATTTTAAAGACAGATTTTCAAGCTTTTGAAAATTAATATATAAAGAAATTTTCTTTCGATTATTACGATTCTTACAATACATAATTTATTTATTAGATATATAACTTAAATAATTTAAAAATTAAATAAATGAACTTGATCAAAGAGTAATGTAAGTCAAAGGTCTTTAAAATAATTTCGATATACTAGCAAACACATGCAGTGCCTTATACTAAAGTGAAAAAGAGTATCATATTTAAAATATATAAAATTCATAACTACTTTTTAAAATAAAATAATTTTCTTTTTGCTAGTTTGTGTGTTAAGCTATGTAAGCATATAAAATATGTATGAAAAAGTTTTCCATATGCGAAAATTTTATAACGGTTTCACAGGAGTAAACTCACGCCACAAATATCAACACTTACCATAATGGTGAAAAATATGCAAATTGTTGACATGCCAATAATTGAGGCCCAATATGGTATGCCAATCACTGTCGCAAGGGCCACTGTCGGCGTATAGACTGTGATAGCCAACGAACATATTTGGCGTGCAATATATGTGGCCGAGGCCAGGCAACGTACCAAGCGGCTTTTGAATCTGAAAATGCAAAAATGTAACAAATTAAATATAATGAATAATTTAAGAGCAAGCACATAAGTCAATATTAATAAAGTAAATATTGGTTATTTATTGGTAACGGAATAAAATTTATTTTACTAAAAGTTTCACTAAAAAAAATAATTGTTAAAATATAATATATTTTATTAAGAAATATATAGAGTGGTTAGTGGTATTTTAAACTTAGTTTCTCATAAAGTTCTCAATATAACTATAACAAAATTCGTATTTATTTAAATCTTAAAATTGTGTAAAATAAACGAGAAATTTTGTTTAGCAAATATTGGTAATAAACAACCTCTTATTTTCTCTACCAAACGATTTTTTTAGTTTGTTGAACTAAAAACTTATATGCGGAATGTGTGGAGCATTTTAAATAAACACCCAAATTAACGCAAGTTCTGAAAAATGTGCGAACATAAAAGTCTAGTACGTCTTTGGGTCAGTTGTTTAAGAAGTCCTGACTTTGAACTTCAAATTTGGCAGGGCAAGAGTTCGATTCCTGGTACTTGAATTATTCCCAAGACCATTGATGATGAGTATTTCATAATATTCGAAACAGCTGTGTGTTCAAGCAAAAATTTAATTAATTAAAATAATATAAAAATGAAATTTTGTTGTTGTAGTTCACTACTATTCGAAAAACATCTTTATAAATACGCTGCATAATATAAAAAATGAATTAAGTTTAAATACAAAATACATTTTAAACTATATTTAACTTAAGACAATAGAACTGCTATAAATTTCAATGCTTATAGAGGCTTCATATTGAGTGAAGTTATTATGTACATAACATCCTTAAGACTTAACATATTAACTCTAAATAAATACTTAAATCTTTTTATTAAAAAGTTTTAATTAAAATCCTTTAATAAAAGTTTTATTAACTGAAATGATTATATTAAGTTTAAAGTTTTCCCCTTGAGCGGAAACCCTTTATTCACCTGTCATAATTTACCATTTCAGTGTTACGTGTTTGCGGTGATGTTGAAATCTTTTTATAACACCGGTTTTTTTGTTGTTGTTGTGGGACGAAACGTTCTTAAGTGAAACCAAAATTTATGTTTGCACACAAATCAAGCTAAAAATGGCAATGAAAAATTGCTGTAAATGCCGGGTTAAAATCCTGCGGATGTTCTACTAAATTATACACGCATGCCAAGATATACGCATTTAAGGTATGTGCATTCATGGATAACTAGGTACTCTAATAAAAGAATGGTCTGCACTATGAACGATAGATGTTTTATGAATGCTCCAGTTATACATAAATGCGTAATCTTTTCATTATTGTTTTTGTGGTGCTCATAAAAATGGCGAATTCCCTTATATATCCTAGCGGAACTTGCTAAATAAGCGCTGCGCGGTACACTAATTTAAGTGAATATATGCATGTATGATTCTTGAATATAAAATTATTAGCATTAACGTTTTCAGCAAATATATAAGCTCTTAAACTCAGCATAAGTATTTTTAATGTATATGTTGTGCTGTGCTTCAAATTCGGGAAATGCTTTTATCGTTTTTAGTCTTCATATATTTGCGAACTTAATATCCGCTTTAAGTAGCACTTAAAAACGCATTTTTTATTTTCATTAAATGCCGGGTATCAGCCATTTATATTTCTAGTTGGTATTTTAATTTCTAATAAATGCAGCTTGCGCTCTCTGCCTTAGTGTTTTAGTGTTTTTATGGAAATGAATTGTGGTACTTAGGCATAAAACGATTACGACAGTATTTAAAGTCTTTATTGTAAATATTTTATGGAGTTCTGCATTCAAAAAGATAATAGGAGCCGATACTGAGGTATGAAAAAACTAAAATTTTTATAAAATAAATCATTTTAATAGATTTTGTTTATATAAAATTATAAATATATTTTTCATTTTTCATTCATATTTTCATTCATAAACCTATTCAGAAAAGATACTGAAGTCTGAAAAAATTAAAATTTTTATAAAATAAATCATTTTAGTATATTTTTTTTTATACAACATAATAAATTTCTTGTGTGTCTTTTATCCATAAAGATAATAGGAGAAGATACTGAAGCAGGTAAACACTAATATTTTTATAAAATAAATTTATTTTTATATAAAAAATTATAAATTTTTTTGCGTCTTTTGTTCATAAAGATAATAGGAGAAGATACTGAGACACGAAAAAAATTAAATTTGTGAAAAAAAATTTATAAACTATAAACCATATAATTTATAAATTATTTATAAACCCAAAAACAAAGTAAAAAATAAAAAAAATAAAATAAAATATATATGAAATAAAATTATATTTCAAAAAGTATTTTTTGATTATGATTCAAAACACATCTTCTAAAAAAATGTATTGATTCGATATAATTAGTGTAGAAGAAAAAATAACGTTAAAATGATATGATATGAAAAATGAAGGTTCAATTCTTACATTGAAACAATTAAAAAAAACTTGATTTAAATTACACATATATTTCAGCAACAATATGATTATAGATGCATTCCACAAGAAATATGATATTTCCTTAGTAACCAGTACAAGAGCGATATGAACTTTATACTCCAAATGTAGAACCTCTCACTTAGTCCATAATAGTAAGTAAGCAAATTGAGACCTTATTTGCTGCTCTGAATCTTATTAATTCAAATAATTCAGCAATATTATGATTGTAGATATTTTCTACAAGAAATTTTATATGATAATATTTCTTGAGCAGCTAGGTCAAGATCGAACTGTCTAAAATTACATCGATTTTAACGGAACACTGAATTATTAAAGGGCATTAAGCTAAGCTGGACTTAACCTGTAGAGTTTTTTGTAGTACATGTCTATAGGCGCTCGAGGAGGGGGCCACGGAATATCTGTGGTGTCTATAATCAGGCTTATCCCAAACAACGCTTAAGTATTTGTCTATTTTCAGGCTTGTTCCGAACAAGGCTTAAGTATTTTAGCATCTCATTGTGTAATTCACTCAATGTTGTTTCCAACATTAGTGTTGGCTATATATTTCTATTTATCAATGCGTGGAGCTGGTTCTAATATGCCCCACTTTCTATTCATAATAACGAGGAATGTACAACCAAAACACTATTGAAGATAATTAAGAAGGATTTGATTCTCTATCTACTTCACTTTTAACTTATGATTGCAGAAGTATTCCTTCAACTACTCCTTACATTATTGTTCCAAAAAACATAGAAAGCTGTGATATAAATGAAATGTTGATAACGTAAGTAGAAGATATGTAAGTTTAAATAAATGGTTTGCCGTCAGATTCTTTAAAAAGTTCAATAAAAATGATAATCGATTTTTAGTTGATTTTTTCATATTAAAAAAATGTAAAATCTCAAAACCACAAGAAAGAAAACTAATAATACAAAAGTCTCTCTAACATATTCATACAGTGACATAAGACAATAATTACTTCCAGCTTAATATTATTGTAATATCTTATGTCATTCACAATATTATTTTTTTGCAAACACTGAAAAAAAATTCACAACATGATAATGGCTCATAACTTCTTTAGTATAAGACCACTTTCGACCGATGCAAATACTTTTAGTTGTCAGTCAATTTGTAAATAAAATCTAGTTTCATGCAATTTCACAAAGTATAACCAACAAGAGGAAAGTAAAATATTCTTACAGATAGTCCACTTGTGCACGTGCGGAAGGTGTAAATAACAAGAGCTATGAAGAATTTACTTAACCATAATCCAATATCACACCAGAATTTTCTAAAACACTTTCTTAACCTCTGCTGTAAAGGAATTTTCCTAAAACAGAATCTTTATGTGCAATTAAATATTAAATTATTCATAAAATAAAGGTAATGCAGATGGTCGTAAAAACATAAATGCATAAAATATCCTAAAATTTTCAAGTTGAGAAATTAAGCTCTTAAGGCAGCATTTATAAATATTTTACATATTTGCTCCTCTTCTTTATATCCTTGTTTTTGTGGTTGTCTTCAATCTACAGAGTTCTGTACTTAGAATATTATATGTGAATATTTTCCATAAGTGTTTTTCATATCGTATCATGATTACAATGACATATTCGTATACATATACATATATATATATTTGTGCATTTAAGCACAACAAAACAAGTTGAAGTGCAATTGAATTGCATATTTTTGCCATATCAGCTATAAACATCTTATTGTCCATTTGCAATAATTTTTCTATTTTGTAATAAACTTAAACAAATGCGTATACTTTCATATCCATATATATAAATTTGTAATAATATAACACAATATATATGGTATTGTATATATAAATCTTATTATAGTATATATTTTTTTGTTCTTGGCAACAATAAAGTATAATTGCACATATTATTTGTTCCGTCAGATTTTTACAAATACTCGTATGAGCGTTCACATTGTGTACCACAGGACGTATGAGTGATGTATGAACAATAAATGAATGAGACAACAATTTTAAAACATTTCTTTTTAATCGAAATAATTAAAAACAAATGCAATCATTTGGACTTATACATATTATTTAAGAATTGCTACTGTTATAATATTATAATTAATAGTATTTAAAGCAGATATATAATTGCTGTCCTTCAGAAGTGTAATAAGATTTTAGCTTCATATTTATAATAAATTAAAAATAATAACATCCTCAGGGACCACAAGTTTGATTTGATCAAAACATACATAAGGAAACTATTTACGAAAACCAACAGGCTTACCTCCCCCAGGTTCCTCGGGGAGGTATGCAGATCTGAGGTCAGTTATTGCTTAGTGTGCTAAAGTGATAAATAATAATTCAGGGCGTAGAGAGAGGTTATGAAGAAACCTTGCAGTGAATAGAGAGTAAAACTGCTTAAGTGTATTGACTCAACTAGTCTCAACATATTAATAATAATAGTAATAAACTAATGAAATAGTGATTTTGATTACGTTATCCATACATTTTTTTTTTTATTTTCAAATATATTTTATCTAAAAAATTTAAGGTAAAA